TGATCTGTGGCATCATCAAGAAAAATCAACAAATATCACAAACACACATGCTATTAGTGTTAGCAGTAGAAGAAAGAAACGTTTACGTTGCCATAGTCTTTCAGTTGTTGCAGTTGAATAAGACTACGTTGAAGTAGTTTAGTGTAGAATGACATTTCTTTTGCTGCATTTTTCTTCTTTTTCTGGGTTTATTAGTTTACTTATGGTTGAAAATTTCTTCTCGTATTTGCTTGTGTGTGCTTTTAATGGTTTCCCATAAAATTTAGACTGACGTAGCGTATGATACGCATTCACCTTTAGCTTTTATTGCTTCACATGCGAACGAATGAGTTTCTCATCTTAAATGGCTCACAGTTCAATAACCATAGCCACACTTATTCATTTCATCCATTCAACCATCCACCTTGTGTGTGTGTATGTGTGCTTGGTGTTTGAAAGCCCCAATGCCAAATATTTCTACCAAAAAATACCAAGAAATAATGTTGCATAGAAAGAATCTGAACCTGTCAAATATTCCAGCTATATGTTGTACTCTATACAAGTTTAATAGTAGTCTTTCTCTTACTTTAGATAAGTTTGCTATGCTATGTGTTTGTTTTTGTTGTTGTTGGTTTGAATAGAATGTCTGTTAGTTTCGACATGATTTTTCTGCATCATGGACCACATGATGCAAAACTAATTCGAAATTAATGTGAGTGTCGTGAGTACTCAAATAGAAATAAAGATAAAAACAACAACATCAACAATAACAATAACATCGACATCAATAGCAAACAACAAAACACTTAGGGTGAGTTTCCGTGCTGTTGTTGTTGTTTTTTATACTTCAAAGTTTTATAAGGGGTGAATTAACTGAAAACATTTACCACAAAACGGCAAAACAACAACAAAACACCAGAATTTCTGTCGAGAAACGTTTAAAACAAATAAGTTTAAACTTAAGTATCCAGGCGATTAAACAGTTTCAATTTTATTATAGCAACTGAACCAAAAAAACGTGTCTTTTGCGATAAAGGTTATTTCTGTGCAATAACCATTGTTCTAAGGAAAGAAAAACTATTAAAATTTTTTAAATTTTAAAAAATATGATTTATATTAATTACCTTACAATGTGTTTTTGGGAAAATGTTTTTAACATTTTGTGTAAAATTACACATTTCATGTAAAGTTGAACCTGTGTGTAAACTTAAACATTTGGCGCAATATTATGCAAAATTACACATTCTGTGTAAAATTACAAGTTTTACATAAAATTGTACACTTTTGTGTAAAATTACACATTTTGAGTAAAATTTAACATTTGTGTAAAAGTACATATTTTGTGTAAAAGTACACCTTTTGTTTAAAAGTACACATTTTGTTTTGTGGGTAATGTTCTAGTCTGTTAGTCCGTAGGTTGTGGGTCCGATTTCCACAGGCCTAACTAAGAACGAACGAAACTAACGAAGAACGAAGACGAACGAACGAACGAACGAAACGAACGAACGAACGAACGAACGAACGAACGAACGAACGAACGAAACGAACGAACGAACGAACGAACGAACGAACGAACGAAAAGAAACGAACGAACGAAACGAACGAACGAACGAAACGAACGAACGAACAAGAACGAACGAACGAACGAACGAACGAACGAACGAACGAACGAACGAAACGAACGAACGAACGAACGAACGAACGAAGACAACGAACGAACGAACGAACGAAAACGAACGAAACGAACGAACGAACGAACGAAGAAGAAACGAACGAACGAACGAACGAACGAACGAAAAAACGAACGAACGAACGAACGAACGAACGAAACGAACGAACGAACGAACGAACAAAAGAACGAACGAACGAACGAACGAACGAACAAGAACGAACGAGAACGAACGAACGAACGAACGAACGAAACGAACGAACGAACGAACGAACGAAAGAACGAACGAACGAACGAACGAACGAACGAACGAACGAACGAACGAACGAACAAACGAACGAACGAACGAACGAACGAACGAACGAAAAGAAGAACGAACGAACGAACGAACGAACGAACGAACAAGAACGAACGAACGAACGAAAACGAACGAACGAACGAACTAACTAACGAACGAACGAACGAACGAACGAACGAACGAAAAACTAACGAACGAAAACGAACGAACGAACGAACGAAACTAACTAACGAACTAACGAACTAACTAACTAACGAAAAACTAACTAACTAACTAACGAACTAACTAACAAAACTAACTAACTAACTAACGAACGAAACTAACTAATAACTAACTAACTAACTAAACTAACTAACTAACTAACTAACTAACTAACTAAACTAACTAACTAACGAACTAACTAACTAACTAACTAACTAACAACTAACTAACTAACAAAAACTAACTAACTAACAAACTAACTAAAAACTAACAATAACTAACTAACTAACTAACTAACTAACTAACTAATAACTAACTAACTAACTAACTAACTAACTACTAACTAACTAACTAAAACTAAAACAACTAATTGACTAACTAGTTGCAAACCAAAATTACATTAACGACAATATTACCAAAATCTTGGGGGTTCTTGAGCATTGCCTCCAAATCAAATTCTTTTAAAAAAATCACATTTGAACCTAAACATCTGGTATAATTATTGCACAACAATAATAATAACAAATAATTCATTTAAACATAATTTCCAAACAGTTAGCAATACCAACGTCTCTAGACAATTCAAGATGATAATAACAAAAATCTGGAATATTTTTCAAAAAAAAAAAAAAAAAAATAAAACAAAAAATTCCCAGAGTCTAGAAGAGATCCCGATGCTATAACCATATTTAACCTTCTCGCACTTGTAAAGGGGAGAAAAATTGTTATGACTCTTGAAAAGTTGTTAAACTAAATAATTTCTAGGAATCATTTATTTTATTTTTTTCTTACGCTTTCCTGTTGTGGATGTGAACAGTTGTTAAATTTAACAACCCAAGAGGCAGGAAGAATTGTGTTGAACAGAGAAACACTTGTTTGCCAACTTCCTAAAAACCAATAAATTACAAGTTTATGATACATAATCTAATCCACAACAGATGAGACTTTTGGTAGAAAAAAGAAATACTACAACTAGGTTGAAGGGGGAATGTCAGGGAAACACCCTTATTTTTTGCTAATATTTTTTATATTTTTTTTGGCGAAAACATACGCTTAAATATTGAGCTATTATTTATGTTGGTGTTTTGAAAAAGGGAAGCTAAATTTTGCCTTGTCTTAAAGCTTAAACTTTCCTGTGTTGGGGTATAAGACATGATGAATGATTGTTGGTTGTTGGAGTTCCCTGCTATTGCAACAATGACATGTCCAAATTTTTTTTTAGCGAAAACAAATCATCACTTTATATAAAATTGACATGACATAACTCCATATGTATGAGGAATTTCCCAAAGGTGATATCACTGTTCTTTTTTATCCCAGAGTGTTAGTATTGTCATTAACTTGTTGTGAATACCCCAAATTTTTCTAGACTTAGTCAAAAAATTTGGAAATTTGTAAAATTTTTAAGAAATTTTGCTTGTAAATAGTTAAGGGGTCTCTGCGCCACTTCTTCCTTATTTGTTAATATCTCAAGAAGTTATCTATCGTTTTGCCTAATTTTAAATATCTGGACTTTAAAGGCTTCAAGTAGTTTGATTTATTACTTAAAATCTTCAGCGATAATGGTTCAGGTTCCTGAGTGGTTTATGAACCCCTGGGGCTTTTAAAAGCTAAATATTATTGGCATGAGGAGAGTTGTACAATATCTGTCATTTATAAGATACCTTCAGACTATAAACTATCTAAATGTTAGGAACTTATATATTTAGACAAATAGTGGTCTATGAACCCCAGGGGCACCAAAAATTTATTTGAGTTTCTAACAATCTTAAAAAACTTTCGTATATAAAAAAAAGCTGTGACAAATTAATATGTCACCTTCAAAATCTGATAAATTAAAAATCAAAAGTTAGACAATTCATCAGGGAATTGCAAGAGTTCGGGGAAATGGAAAAGAGATCATTTTTATTACAATTAAGATTAATTGAATTTATTTTTTTTTAAATCGCTTATAGAATGTTATTTAAAACTCTTAATAAAACTTTCCCCTAAAATGTTTTGCCTTAGCGTTTCTTTAATTGACACAAAAGGGAGGAAATTGGACATTAAATATTGGAAAAACTAGCTAAACGTGTGTCAATTTTGCATACACTTTACCACACATACACACAGTCAATCATCAGACAGTTAGACGAAAGAAAGAGACAAACAGATTTTAAAGCAAATAATAAACGCAAAATTGAAAACGTGTGTCAATTTTCGAAATATGGTAAGAATGCAAACAGCAGACATACAAATCAAATTATTTAACAATTACAAACACTAGGAGAGAATGGTTGTCAGAAAATAAATACATACAACTAAGGAACGCGTGTTAAATGTCATGGTAAATGAAAAGGCGAGCGTCGAAAGTCTGTCTGTCCGTATGACTAGACAATATATATCTGCATTTGAAGTTTACTTAACGGCAGACACATGTCGGTTAAAACCAGGCAAATCCTTTTTAAAGTGGGGTTGCTGTTGACTGAACGATAAAGAGAGCGCTTTAAGTCTTGAATTGCCAGGACACGTGCATTTGCACATAAACCAAACTCACTTATTCACTTACTTAGAGGAATATTTTGAAAAAGATTTGTTAGTTGGAATACAATTTATGTTTTATTATTTTTAAATTAAAGAGAAAACTTAGACTGTGGCACACTGCCAAAAATTTATGGAAAGAAAGCATATTTGACAGGCGTTCCAGATTAGCTTAACATAATATTTCTTTGTATTTTTTTTTTGTTATTATTTAGCTACGAAACATTATGAGCTTGTTAAACAATTAGTAGGAAGAAATAATTTTTCAAATATTTTTCCCATACAAAAATTTTTTTTTTAAACATTTTTTCTTTTCTTTCGTTTCATTTAAGGTTCTTTAATGGGTTCAGCGAGCGAAGATGAAGACGATGATGATGATCCACCACATTTAAGGGGACCCCCTCTGGGTCTGGGTATGTTAGGACCAAATGGTCCAGACTCAGCAGGTGGACCATTGGGAGCATCAGATATTTCAGTACAAAGCATGAGCACCGACAGCAAAAACACGCATGACGATTCAGATCAGGTAAAATGGAAAAGAAAAAATACTCACACTCCATACTCAATAAGAAAAACATAAAAGATCATCATGATCATATTAATGTTGATGTTGCTGTTGATCGTTGCTAACTTTTTTTCATATGATTAATGATTATGGCTTAACAATTACCTTAACAAATTTTGAGGGGTTTTTATTTCAACAACATATTTTTATTGGTTTTGTTTTCGGTACGCTCTCTTGTAGGGTTCCTTAGATGGTGATCCTGATGCGAGAGGTGATTCTCAAGCGGAAAATAAAAGTCCTGACGATGCCAACGGTTCAAAAAGAAGGGGGCCTCGCACAACGATTAAGGCGAAACAATTGGAAGTTTTAAAAACAGCATTTAACCAAACACCGAAACCTACACGTCATATTCGTGAACAGTTGGCCAAAGAAACGGGGTTGCCCATGAGAGTAATACAGGTGAGTTAAGTTTTATAATGTAAGCTTTTGAATTGAAAAAGCTTTTAAGTTTTGAGTCGGAAAATTATGCGCAGAAACAATACTGGTTGTTTCAAAAGTTTTTTTCTAGTGTTAAAGCTACCAAAGGCTTCTTAAAAGCTTTACTTCATCTATTTTTTAAACTTTAAAAGCTTCTAATGTTCTAAACTATTAATGAAAGCTATAGCAATTGAAGAAAATTAATCAACTACTTTGAATCTTACTTTTAGCTTTTAAATGAACAAAGTTTAGTGAGAAAGCTATAATAGTTTTAAATCTTTACTCAAATAAGCTTTAAAGCGAAATTTAACTTACAAAATTGTTTAACCTTTATTTTAAGGGAAGCTTTAAAGCTTTTAGTTGATTCAAAAGCTTTTTTGTAGTGTTAATGCTACAAAAGACTTTTTAATCATAAAAACTTTAATCTAAACTTTGAAAAAGTTTTATTGAATTATTTAAAGCTTTACTTCATTTACTTCTTAAACTTTAAAAGCTTTCCAATGTTCTAAGATATTAATGAAAGCTATAACAATTGAGGAAAATTGATGAAATACTTTTAATCTTACTTTTAGCTTTTAAATAAACAGAGCTCAATGTGAAAGCTATATTAATTATTGACAAACTATTTCGTTTTAAAATCTTTACTAAAATAAGCTTTAAAACAAAATTATTTAACTTGAAAAGCTCTAAAGCTTTTAGTTGTTTCTAAGATCTTTTTTCTACTGTTAAAGCTACAAAAGACTTTTAAATCACAAAACCTTTAGTCTAAAATTTGTTTTTAAAACTTTAAAAGCTTTTAGCAGTTGGTAGATATGGTACTATTTAAGCAAAATACCAAACAGATCATTTAAATTATTTTATTTAAAAGCTTTTATTAATAAAGCTTTTTTAAGCTTTCAGAAAAAGCTTAAAAAGCTGCTTATATTATGATCACAACTGTATTTTAAACATGATAAAAAGAAAAGATTGCAAAAAAAGTCCTCTAATTGCTAAACATTTTTAGCTTAATTCAATCATAAACCTTTTTCCGGTATAGATATATTTAAAGCTTTAGATTAAATTACGCCCAATCACCTGTCTTTAGATCAACACACTTTAGATAAACACGTTAACGTTTCAATTTCATATTTTTTTAAACTCAAATTATATTTAAAATAATTTGATAAAAACTAAATAATTTTATATAAAAAAAACGAAATCGTTTAAAAAGAAAACAAAATTTAATGTTTAAAAACATGAATGAAGAGGACAGAGAATAAGAGCAAATGTAACGAACGGCCGCAGCACGTTAAACATGCCACAAACTCAGAGTCCATCTAATAGAGTTTTTTATACAGGCAAAAAGAAAACAGAAAATGAAAATAAGTGGAAAAATATAATTGGATCATAAGCTGGAAAAAGCATTCATGTTACATGGTGTTTCAGAATATTGAGGTAAACAAGCATCACACGGATGATGACTGACGGTGATGATGATGATATTGACTACTTGCAACAAGGTAGTTTCGAATAAATACTGCTGTTTGTTGGATATTTTAGCAATTTTCATTATTACTTTGTTTAAAAATGTTTCCATACAAAACAACCAGTGAACGCTGGTACGTGACAATTGACCATAAAATCAAAATATTTCCTACAATTGTTTGCACCAACGAAAGCAGCATAATTTTCCAAAATCATTATTAAAGTTTTTATATATAAAAAACACTTTTTTTTTAAATTATTAAATGTTGCTTTAAAATTTAAACTTTTTCCTTTTTTAAATCAAATGTTATTGATTTGTTGGGGTTCAACTTAAAGACATGATGCATTCATTCAATCATTAATTTTAACTTTTACTTGTTATAAGCTAAAATGTGTCTGTGTGTGTTTAAAACGCGTTATTTCTTGGTGTCAAATTTAGCCGTCGGCTTTTATTTACTCTTTCAACAGTTTAATAATATTGCCACCGATTGTTGCACATTCAATCTTACACTGCATCAAACACAAGGATGCAGGCTATATGTGCGTGTGTATTTAAGTTTAAATGCCTATTATTATTATTATTGTTGTTGTTGCGTTTTGGAAGGTGTCAATTTTCGGTTAAAGTGTGAACGTCAATAAATTTCTTGCCTTCTCATTCACTCTCTTGGTGTCTGTCTGTCTGCCATGGTATTTTAAGTTTATTGCACTGCACGTTATTTTATTGATTGATATAAATTGCTATAGGCTTGGAAAGCTCATTATTAAGTAGCACATTATTAAGAGCTTTTTATGCTAAACCTAAAGGTCTTGTATTAAACTTTTTATTGTTGTAAAACTTTTCCGCAAGTTTTTTGCAACGGTTTTGCTATAAAGTTCTAGTAAAGCTAATAGCTTTGGGGATTCCCAAGGCTTTATTGAAAAATTCTTCAATATTTTATATAGTTCACACTATAGTCTGTTTTATAGTCCAGACTATAGACTTTTCTATAGTCTATAGATTTTTCCATAACCAGACTTTTCTATAGTCCAGGCTGTAGAATGTTCTATAGTCCAGACTATAGACTGTTTTATAAGCCAGACTATAGACTGTTCTACAGTCCAGACTTTAAATTCTATAGTCCAAACTATATACTGTTCTATAGTCCAGACTATAGACTGCTCTATAGTCCAGACTATAGACTATATATAGTCCAAACTATATACTGTTCCATAATCCAGACTATAGACTGTTCTATAGTCCAAACTATATACTGTTCTATAGTCTAGACTATAGACTGTTCTATAGTCCAGACTTTAGACAGTTCTATAGTCCAGACTATGGACAGTTCTATAGTTCAGACTATAGACTGTTCTATAGTACAGACCATTGACTTTTACTAATTTTTACAAATCGTGTCCAAATTTTGAATAGAAGATATCCAGCTATTTTTTATTGGTTCTCGTAATACTATGTCACCAAATTTTATTTGAATTATGACCACATAATCATTGATTATTTTAATATTAATTAGTTTCAAATTTAATGCTCAAATTTTTATAGATTTTTTGTTACAGATACATAATTTACATTATACCAAAAAACTAGATTTTTTTAAACGGCTAAAATAAACTTTTATTTTCTTCAGTTTTAAAAAAAACGAAATAAACCAAATATTTTATGTATTTCTAACGTCTAGAGTGGGCGTTTCTGCAATTAAATTATCTGCCGGTTTTTTAAGGGAATTTATTTTTCTTCTTCATCAATTATGCAAAAATAAAAACTAAAATTCAGTTGAATTTAGGAGTTGTAGACGTTTAGAGTCGTTAAGACAACTTCCGTTTTAGAGCATTTCAAAAATAAAAAAAGGTTGGTTTCATTTTTTTTTTCGAAAATCATTCAAGCTTAACAAAAAGACTAAAGACTGTCTAGAGTTGAAAAAGAAGCTTGCTTATGAATATTTATTTATTATTGATGAAAGCTTAAGATGCAACAACAGCCAACAATAACAACTGTGGCTTAAAATGTTAAAAAAATATTTTTTTTTGTGAAGTTTAAACGATTTATGCGTTTTTTATGCAGATAAAAAATTATTTTAAAATATAAAATATAAAAATTTTCTTTACTGAGTAGAGCAAAAATTTTCTTTAAAAAATTGCTTAAGATTATTTTGTACATTTTATGGAATCTAGGCCTTTTTAGTTTATACCTTTTTGTTTAAGTGTAGAAATTTAACTGCGTGAGTTTTTTTATGTTATTTTCTTTTTTAGTAGTAGAAAATTATTCTCTTTGACTGTAACTGACAACTTCAGCCACATTTGTCAGTTACGGTTGACCACAACCACTGACTTGTGTGCATTAAATATTTTCTGGTTGTTGTTATTTTTTTTCTGTTGTTAATGGTTTGCCATTCATACGGGCTTTTTGTAGGGGTTTTCAATATTTACTTTTGTTTTAATCAAAATCTTTTTACAATTTGATAATGTTTTCTCCAAAAGAGGACTTCCTTGGAAGTAGAAAAGTAATGAAATTGAGAATTCTAAATTTTATTTTTAAACCTCTGCTTATGTAGTCCATACTATAGGCTGGTCTAGTCTATATAGTCCAGTGCAAACTATAAACTGATCTATAGTCCAGAATAGAGACTGTTCTATAGTCCAGACTAGAGGCTGTTATATATTCCACGCTGTAGACTGTTCTATAGTCCAGACTATAGACTGTTCTATAGTCCAGACTATAGACTGTTCTATAGTCCAGACTATAGACTGTTCTATAGTTCAGACTATAGACTGTTCTATAGTCAAGACTATAGACTGTTCTATAGTCCAGACTATAGGCTGTTCTATAGTCCATACTATAGGCTGTTCTATAGTCCATACTATAGGCTGTTCTATAGTCCATACTATAGACTGTTCTATAGTCCAGACTATAGACTCTATTGCTCTATTTGGAACAATAACTTCTACAACTATAAACTTTTACTTAAAAAGAACTTAGTTGCCATATGGATGAGGTTGCCCCAATGTGCAGTTTTCTGTATCAATACATTGGTTTCAAATTGAAAGTTTTAATATTTTATATTAATGAACTACTTTTTAAAACTAAGTTCAAATCCACTTTAAGCTTCGAAAACTTTGACCCATTGTGCAGGCTTTTGTATTTCTATTTGTTAGCAACTGAAATAAAATTTTTAAAGCTTAACCTTTGCTTTAGGGATAAACCTAATTTGAAGGAGATAATATTAAAAAATTCGTAGTTCAATAAGTTTAAACATTTACTTAGAAATAGCTTAGTTGCCAAATGGATTAAGTCACAAAAACAAAAATTACAAAAAAAGATAATTTTAAATTTATTGCACAAATAAAATCTGTTATTAAGTGATTCTTTCATTATTTTTTTGAACTAAAATAGTTAAAAGTGAAGTTAGTTGATTTGGTGTATTAGGTCTTTTTATTGAAATGTTTAAATATATAGAACTTTCAAATTATTTAAGCTATTTCTTTGATATTTGTTGTGTTAATAAATCATAAATTAAGCTTTG